GCTTTTCTTTAAATACCAAAATGGGAATCAGTTCAATCGTACTGTTATCAACACTACGGCGGTGAAATCGGCATCCCGATTGTATTATCGCCAGGGGCAAATAGTACAATCCATCGAGATTGATCCTACCACAGTACTGGAGGAGGGAGGTGCCTGAGCAAAAAAAAAAAAAGCCCCCTGCCCAGTTTCCTTCTGCCGTGTCCACCCACCCTCTTTCCTTTCCCTGAGGCTTCCTTGGCCCTTCCCTTCCTGCAGAGCGCAGGGATCGGGATGTTTGCCATGCTAGTAAACCCAAGAATGGCAAGAATGCCGCCACATCACTTCCCTGCTGGCTTTTCGTCGACCGGGTTCAAACCCTGTGCGCCAAGCGCTGGTTCAGGAAGCAGCAGCAGTGGGCTGAAGGAGTACGACGTCTCAAGCCCAAGGCAAACAGGCCTCCTTGGGGTCCGGCCCGGCCGGCGTATGAACAGAGCCAGTGTCGTTCCTTCTGAAGGGCATTCATCCGCCCTCCAGGCCAGGCGTGCAGAGAATGGGAGAGCAAATAGCAGACTGGGAGGCCTCGGCCAGCCAATAGCAGGAAAGACAGCGTCTCTGCTACCCACCCAGGCGGCACAGAGCAGGCACAGATCTGACGCACGGCCCCGGGGCTACGCCTACCTAGAAACCCGAGTGGCCTTGCCTTGGCTCTGCCCCCTGACCACGTTACTAGCTGTTTGTTGGCCGGGACGGCCCGAGCCGTCCTGCCAACTGGCCACCCTCCGCAGAGCCAGGAGTTCACGGATCCCAAGCCACAAAGCTGTTTTCACATTCCAGCCGAGGATTCTTTGGCTCCCAAGACTTCTTCCCTGAAATCCTGGCGGATGGGGCAGAGAGAAACCACCACCGCTCCTTCTTCCCCAACTCTGCTCTTGATTTGGAACAGGATCCTGATTCGGCACGTGGGAGGGGGGGGGGTCGGGGCTGCACATGGCTTCGGAGCTCCATCCGGCTGGGGCCAGCAAAGCAGCCCCCCCCCCCCCACAGCTGCAGCATTACCACCACCACCCCTTCTCTACAAAAGGAATGGTAAATACCACCTAGTTGCATAACCGGCAGATTCTGGCCCGGTGACAGAGTGACTTGAGATCAAGAGGTGGGGAACAGAGTGTAACTTCCTAAGGCTACTAGTCAGGTTTCGCTTCTGGGGAAGAGGCTTTTGCCTGCCAGAACCGCAGAGGGATCAGTTGTGCGTCAAGAGAGCTCGTTGGCCCAAGAACAGGGATTGCTGTGGGAGTGGGAGGCTCGGCCTCTCTTCGCAGGCCAACAGCCCCAAAGTCAGCCTGGAGTGAAGGAAGAGGAGACTCCCTTAACGCCAAAGCCATCTGTCTCGATCCAAAATCTCAGTGGGGTACGAGCAAGCGAACGCCGTTAAGACTGAGCCACGCAGTTTTTGGGTGCAAAAGAGTGGAACGAGTGGGAATCGCTCCCCAAAGAACAGCCAGGCGTTACAGCAAAGCAGCAGAGTTTAAGGTTCCACCACAAAAGCGCGTAGGACAAAATCGCGCTCGACAAAAGCGCACTGTGACATCATCACAGCGCGACGAAAAAGTTCGAAAAATGTAAAAATAAAGCAAAAACCTTGCCAAGCCAAATTTTTATTTGAATTTTTCGATCTTTTTCGTCGCGCTGTGATGACGTCAAAGGCGCGATTTTGTCGATCGATTTTTAAGACCGAGGGCACGAGGAACCAGCCTCATACGCTGTGCCGAGCTCTACGCTGCTCTGCCCTTCGCTTAGCGTGTTTCATGAATCAATTGTGACTTTGAAACAAAAGCAAAAGTTTACAAAAACAAGCTCAGTGGATGGGAAAACCAAGCCAGAAGGTTCTAAAAATGGTCCAGGTTCAAATCACTAAATCTGATCGCCCATTCAGGGCAAAATATTTGATCCATACTTCAACATCTTCCCTGAGAAAAAGGAGGAGGAGGAGGGAAATTTTGGAGACCCGTGAATAAACTAAAGTCTGTTTTAAAACAAGTTCAGGATTACGAGCCTGCTCTCTGATGCCCCTTTTCCAAATAGCAACTTCTGTGCTGGACAATTTCATGGGGGGGGGGAAGAGATCCATTTTTTAATTTATTTATTTTTTTAAATCCTTTGTGCTTCTGTTGCTTCTCATCATGGATGCATCTCCTCCCTTTCCCCATTTTCTCATGCGGGTTTCTTAGTCCAGATGACTTGAAAACAGAACCATCCTAGAAGGCGGCTATGAGTTGGGGAACTGTCCTTCCACTTCAGGATATCAAGTGGTGGAAAAGCAGCATCAATTAGGCATTTCTCTAAAAAGCACCTCCTCTCTCCACCACGAGAATAAACATTATTTTGATCCTGCAATCCGGCCCAAAAATGGACCCCGGAAGGGGTTGAGTGGCAACCGCTCATTCAGGAGCTTCCAAACTTTACAACCATTTGGCAGCTGGTTGGGGCAAACTGTCCTCACCAGGACAGACAGGAAATGATGGTTTGATGAGCCAAACATTCCTGGGAGGAAGGAAAAGCATCTCTTGTATCAAATGGCCAGCTCGTTCCTACAGGAGCTCCTGCCAAGGAAGGAATTTGCCCTTCTGCAACGGACATGGAAAGGTTCAGGTCAACACGGCCAAGGAATATCGAGCCGAGTGCAGAAACCAGAGACAAGGAGCTAATTCAATTCAATTCAATTCAATTCANCAGCTAGACACTATGATAGCATCCTTGGGCTGCTATGTTTAGGATGATTGATATTATATAGGCTGTCCTTTTTACTTGGTACCAGTTGCTTGGTAACCATTCAAAGTTATGATAGATCCCCAAAAAGATACTTACAACCTGAGCCACCCCTTCATGGTCATGTGATTGCATTTGAGGGCTTGGCAACCAGCCTGTATTTATGACCATTTGCAGTGTCCCAATGATTTACAACATTTTTTTTTGCTGGAAACTAGCATTTATTTCCAGTTTCTGGCGAAAAAGACACCCATTGTGGACAACGGGTTTGTTCACTTAAACAATCACCCCAGAAAAATGCAATACCCAGGCTCAATTATGGCCACACGTCAAGGACAACCTATAATTCATAGAATTCTTGACGATGGCCACACTGGGAGCTATAATCTCAGTGCAACTCGTTTGCATGTGAGTAGGGAAAAGTCACTGTAAGAAACTTCAGATTGGTCCCTGCGTTTCTTTTCAGCTTGCTGCTGCTTTTGTCCTATAATCACATCTTCTGAACAGGAAGTACCTATGCTAAACATGCCACCCATCTATTGGAAGATTACAGAAATATTCAAGGATCACAGGAAAGTTTTCCTTCTGCTGCTCGTTTGTTCCAAGATGTGGTTGCTATTAAGGAGATAAGCTTTTGGAAGCAGCCAAATATTCCCAGCTGTTGCATGACTAGCCTTCTATAACAGCAGCAGCAGGTTCTCGTCGCTAGACAGCAGAGCAACCCAGAGCACCCACAGGCATGGCAATGTCGGGAAGAGCATATGTTCCCTGTACACAGTAGCCAAGACCAAGAGACAGCAATTAGCACCAGCTGAATGAAAATGAATGGTCATATACATAACCTTAATAAAAATGTCATAGATGAGGGGTGGGGAAATTCCTACCATGTTGGATCTTTCTTCTTGGTAAGAAAAGATATGGCTGGTTCTCTGCTTGTTCATTCACACTACCAATAATATAAAAACTGCATTTAATTATCTCTCTCTCTCTCTCTCTCTCTCTCTCTCTCTCTCTCATCTATCTATCTATCTATCTATCTATCTATCTATCTATCTATCTATCTATCTATCTATCTATCTATCATATATATCATCTCTCTCTCATCTCTCAGCTATTTCTCATATCCACCCTGCCACTCACTCACCCATTTATCATCTATCTATCTATCTATCTATCTATCTATCTATCTATCTATCTATCTATCTATCTATCATATCTATCATCTACTTTANTTTATTTATCAGCACAAATAAAAAAACATATATATACAGCTTTATATATAGCTTGAAATAGATCTATACTAGTCTCCCTTTATTTATTTATCAGCACAAATAAAAAAACATATATATACAGCTTTATATATAGCTTGAAATAGATCTATACTAGTCTCCCTTTATTTATTTATCAGCACAAATACAACACAAATGTAACAAAGGCAACAGTAAAAATATTGGATATATATATATATGCATTCTGAATTATTATTTTTTCTGAAAGACTTCTGAAAGCCTTTTAAAACTTCTAAAATTTCCCCCTTTTCAGACAATGACACTCAAATGAAACTTAAAAGAATTCCTTGTGGTTCATATTTTCCAGTCTACATTTCTCCATTCCTGATGAGAAAGATATGACTTTTTATGTTCACCTTTTCCTGATCAATTGCTATTATGAATATTCTGATAGTTCCATGCTGGAATATGTGAGATAATTAATTATTTTCTTTGTATAAATATTTGTGATAATATTTATGTTTCAATTGTGAATATTCAGTTTAATTTTCTAAGTTCAATGTCAAAATTCTTATATATCACCATACTTTTATATCTCAAAGTCCATAAGATACACCTCTACTTGTAAAAATTCATGTCCGTATCTATGAAAAGATTCTGCTAACAAATTAAATTCCTTGCTAGCAGACACTGCATTATCTGCATTTTAAAATGTTCACCATGTTCTTATGACCTAATTCATCAATAAACATGGTAGTTTATAAATACTTTCTTCTATGATGTTGTCCAAGAGTAAAAAATAATGAAATGTTTGTGAGTGAATTATGACTCAGAGTTTCTAATGAAACAAGTTTCATGAAAAGGCAATATAGTTCTCAGTTTTTGAGGTTATTTTGATCATGATTTACCCTGAAAAGATATTACTCTTGATGTCTTTGATCCCAATATGTACATTTGAAAGTGAACTAAGATGCATATAAGGGTAATCAATGAATCATCCACTTTGTTAATGAAAGTTTAGAAAAACCTTTAATAACTCTGCAACACACATCACGTTCCAGCATTTCTCTCATTCATCTTATTAGGAAGCAATTGCTGAATTATAACAGTGATTACCAATGGTACTTTCATTTTATTCCTTAAACGTTATTTTTCCTTCTTTTTATATTTCAGATGTTTGTTAGCATAGACAGCATAATACATAGTAAAATGTATCTTAGTTAGTACTCAGTCACAGAATGTAAATTGAGTTAATTCGGCAAAGATTATACATTGATCTTCATAATGTATTAGATTTATTGGTTAGAATATTAATGCTATCCACATTATTTTGGATTATTATACATGAATATGTATATATGCACCCATAGATTCAAGTATATGCTATTTAACAATAACATTTTACCAAGGCCATTATGATGCACTTATATATTAATCAAACTCTAAGTTCAAAACTATGCAGAATTGTCAATATCAGCATTGCACAACATTTATTTCACAGTTAGTGAATTTTTCTTGAATGAATCTATTACTTTAACTCCATCAAACTTTTTTAAGGCTCCTCCACGAATTGGAAGCTTTTTCAGTGCAAGATCTGTATCAGCTAGTGGCCCTCCAATTAATTCAGAAGGTGTACTTTCCACTGTTACCAAGCGACCAGATGCAACCTGCAAAAATAAAAATGTTGCTCAATAATCTGAAAAAACAAAAACAAGAGTTTGATTTCTCTTCTCTTTTCCAGAGAAACTAAGAGATTGGAAGCTTAAAAAAAATATTCTGACCAGTTTAATTCAATGTAATAGCTGTCTTGCACCTTGTCTTTCACAGTACTCTTTTCAAATTTGGACAGTGTCCCCTTTGTAAACAAATTACTAGTCTACATAGACATATTACCTATCTGGAATCTCTAATTTGTGCTCTCCAAGCAGAAATTGTCCAAAAACAAGAGTTCGGTGTCCAATTGGGCCATTCCGCTCTCCGGAGATGCCACTCTATCACACCCCCCCCACACACACCGCAAAGATTCCGCAGGAGAAGAGCAATCTGGACAACCGTGGGATCTGACCGGGTGAGAACTGTGAACCATAAACACAAAGCTTTGTTACATGTATTTCTCCCTACGTCTTTTGTGGACTTCTATAAACTGCTTCTTCTCACTATAGTAGGATCTTTATTCCAGTCACCGATCAGCATTATTTCCTCACTCCAATAAAGAAAGATATTATACATTCTACTTTTAATAGTATGTAATCCAATAGATTGTATTTTTATGTTCATGCATGTGTTTGTGTATGTTAGAAAGAATCAAAAGCATTGCATATGTATACAATCACATCTATAACCTAATTTATATTTAATGTTCAAAATAAAATATTTTACAACAGTTATAGACAGGAGGAAAATATTAGAGTTTTTTTGCACAAAAGCCAATTATTTAATACTTTTAAACCAACCATCCAATTTATAAAGTGAATAAAAATAAACTTTAATATAATTATTTTAACAAACTAAAATAGTATATTGGAAATGCCTTCTTAAAAGAAAGCTACATAGTACTGTCCCAAAGGTACTTTTTTTCTTTGAAGACATTTCGCTTCTCATCCAAGAAGCTTCTTCAGCTATGTGCTTCAAAGAAAGTCCAGTTGCTTCTTGAAAACGACCATTGACTTACCTGCACGGTCCTTCTATGTGTGCTGGGAGGGGAATCCAAGCATGGGTTAACTTTGTCCATTAGCCTTGAGACTGAGTTATGTAAATTGGTGACCATGCCTCCACTGGCCGGATGGGCTCAGTTTTCTTAACTCAGTCCAGCCGATGAGACATATATCAATTCTTCTCCAGACTTCTGAGACAAATTTATACCCTTTTTCTGGATTTCCTTACAAGCACGATGGACCTA